TGCTGAATGTAGAGGAAAAACCGATATTTCTCTACATCAAAGCAACAGATTTTAAGTACTGAAGAGCGCAAACTATTCAGATTTCAGTGAGGAATAACCTTTTTATGTCTCTGAATCCGGAAAGCCTAAAAACTAAGTAGGCTGTGTATCAAATTATGTATTTAATGGAGGAAGAACATACTCCTGTGCCCATTTATAAGTGTTAAGATAGCATATTTTGAGCTACTGGAGTGACATGATGGTTCTGACTGTGCATGCCATCATTAATCATAGATTAGGCCCAAATGTAGTACAAGACTATTATGTGACATCGGTTTGCAGAAATGTGTTTCCAGTAGTGTATCTGCATACATAAATGACACCCCAATTGCTGCTGTGATTGGGCTGCTAGACATCTTCTGTGTTTTGGTCTTATTTTTAAAACTTACTAGGGGAAGCTATAATGAATAGCCATCTCCATTCTGTTTTCTAAGGAGAATTTCATTTGGAATACCAAGAATGGAGGACATTACATGAGCATCTGCACTCAAAAAGCTAGGTTATTGCTGCTATGCAGCTAATTAAAAAACATCCCTGTTAAATACAACAGCTGTCTTACACATGTATCTGAGACTTCTGGTTTGTACCCATAGAATGATAGAATGTGTGGGGTTGGAAGGGATGCTTAAAGGTCATCTTGTCCAGCCCCCCTACAGTGCACAGTGACCTTTTTTAACTAGGTCAGGTTGCTCAGAGCCCTGTCAAGCCTGACCTTTAATGTCTTCAGGGGTGGGGCCTCTACCACATCTCTAAGCTACCTGTTCCAGTGCTTCATCTCCCTCATAGTAATGACAGATGGGGTCTTATGGGAGTAGAGTAGAGGGAGAGAATCACCTCCCTTGACTTGCTGGCCACACTTCTTTCTGTGAAGCCCAGGATATGATTAGCCTTCTGGGCTACGAGAACACATTGTTTGCTCATGTTCAGCTTTTTGTCCACTAGTATCCCCAAGTCCCTTTCCATAGGGCTGCTCTCTATCATATCATCCACCAGTTTGTATTAATAACAAGGATTGAACTTACCTAGGTGCAGGACCTTGCACTTAGCCTTGTTGAACTTCGTAAGGTTCACGTGGGCCCACTTCTCTATCTTGTCCAGATCTCTCTGGATAATATCCTGTCCCTCTGGCATATCGACCACAGCTGTCAGCTTGGTATCATCTGCAAACTTGATGAGGATTCCCTCGATCCTGTCTATATTGTTGATGTAGATATTAAACAGCACTGGCCTCAGTACAGACCCCTGAGGGAGACCACTTGCTCCATCTTGGCATCTAGCCATTGAGCACTACTCTGCAACTATCCAGCCAATTCCTTATCTGCCAAACAGCCCACCCATCAAACCTGTATTTTTCCAACTTAGAGAAGAATGTTGCAGGGACTATGCCAAAGGCCTTGCAGAAGTCCAGATAGATGACATCTGTAGGTTTTCCCTTGTCCACTGATGCAGTCACTCCATTGTAGAAAGCCACTAGGTCGGTCAGGCAGGATTTGTCCCTAGTAAAGCCATGCTGGCTATCAAATTGCCTCCCTGTCCTCCATGTGCCTGGTCAGAGCTAGGAGGATCTGTTGCACGATCTTCTCAGGCACAGAGGTGAGGCTGTCAGACTGGTAGTTTCCAGAGTCCTCCTTTCTACCCTTTTTAAAAATGGGTTGCCCTTTTTTCAGTCACCAGGGACTTCACTTGACTGCCATGACTTCTCAAATATTATGAAGAGTGGCTTGGCAACTACATCAGCCAGTTCACTCAGGACTCTGGGATGCTTCTCATCAGGTTCCATAGACTTATGTATATTCAGGTTCCTAAGGTGATCATGAACCTTGTCTTCATTTACAGTGGGAGGTACTTCCTCCACCTTGTCCCTGTATTGAGGTCCTTTAATTTGGGAGGTGTGAGGAGAGAGGTAGCGTGTGAAGACCAAGATAATGTCATTGAGAACCTCAGCCTTCTCCTCATCTGTTGATACTAGTTTGCCATCCTTGCTTATCAAGGGGGAATGCTTTTTTAACCTTGCCTTTCTGATTGATATACCTGTATACCTTTTTTTGGCCAGCAGGACTTGACTCAGCCATGCTGGTCTCTTCCCTTCCTTAATTGATTTATTGCACATGGGGATTGAGAGTACTTGTGTTCTGTGAAAAACATCCTCAAGTATCTGCCAATTCTGTTCTGCTTCCTTGTCCCTGAGAACTGTTTTCCAGGGAGTCCTACTGATTAAATAAATCCTTGAAAAGGTGGAACTTTGCTTTCCTAAAATTCAAGGCCTGTAGGAGTAGTGTAGACTCCTCCTCTGACTCATATCCTTTAGGATTCCACCAGTGTGTGATCAATGCAGCCCAGGCTGCCTCCAATCCCTGATGGGCTCACCTGCGTTGTTGACCATCAGGTCCAGTGTCACATCCCCTCAGGTAGGGCCGTCTATTTCCTTCCTATTAAGAGGTTATCCTCAAGGCACTCCAGCAGTCTCCTAGATTGCCTACAGCTTGCTGTGAGTTTTCCAGCAGATGTTGGGGTTGAAATCCCCCACCAGGACAAGAGCCTGTGAACATGATGCCTTCTGGAGCTGGAGTAAGAATGCTTGCTTCATCAGTAGGCTCTCCTTGATAAGGCAATCTCCTGTGGTATCCTTTTCTTTTCCACCCTTGAGAACAATAATTATGTAAGCAAATATAAATCTTACCACTTGCATATGGCTGGAGAAGGGATGTATGATTGTAAGTAGTTTTTTGTGTGTTTAGGAATTTTCAGGTGAAGCTCTATGAACTTTGGTAAACAAATAGTGATGGTGTTTGGTAAGTTTCACTGCAATTAACTACAAACTGCTGTTGAAACAAAGTTGTAATAGATTATTTTTTTTTTCCATTTTAGTAATAGTTGAATCACTGAGAGGCCTACCTCCAGTAAATGAGGAAAGCATAATTTTTAAAGAAGATCGGCAAGCAGCAGGAAAGGTTTGTGTAAAACATAAACAACATAAACCCCTGTTATTCTAATAAGAAATTCTAAGTATTTTTTAATGTTCCAATGGGTAGTGTTGAATGTCAGCTTAATGAAAGAGGAAGTTTTATAGGTATGTAGTTTTTCTTTGTGCTTTTGACTTGCTGTAGTTACCTGTCTTTTTAATCTCAAGAATTCCTAACCTGAAATTCACTGTATCCTTACAGAACAAAAATGTGTGTGATGAGTTTGTCCTATTTTATGAGAGTGCTTGTGGAGAGGGAGAGGATACTTTTGGATGTGTGATGTCTCAAATAACAGGCTGTGCACTTTTATTGCCTGGAGTTGGGGGCAAAGACTGATGATATTAAGAGTCAAGTTTCAGGAAAAATGAGGAATATTTTCATATCTATATTCTACGGTTCCAGTTTAAGACCAGTGTGTACTTCATGCAAGTGTAATGAAGAATGTTTTCTGACAACAGTGTTGTATTGAATTTTGTATGTTTTCTGGGGAAAAGGCATTTAGAATGGTTACTGCTGTAATATCTTTGAATGCTAGATGAGAATGAAACAAAAAAACTCAGTCTGGAATTGCAGATGTTTTGTACAAGTCAAAATTCTCTGCTCTCAATGCAGCTGGGGAACAGACAGGGGAAGTGATGTAAAGGGTCTTGTAAAAATTAACTTTGAGGATTAGATTATCAGGAGATACAGGACTTTGGAAAGCATAATGGAGAAGAATAGGAAGAATAAGGATTTGGCGAAAGGAAGTATTACTAAAGTAGAAGAAGCTGACAGTGAAAACAAAGCAGTTAGGTGGACAAACAAGCATCAGCATTTGAGAGAACTTTTCCACATTGTGACTTAACCAGTAGCTGGGGATATATACTGTCAAGCAATTGTGGTAATAAAACTCAAGCATGAAAGTGATTTTATTTGATGTTGTGTTTAGGAAACACATCAAACTTCTTGAATACAAAGCATCCTAAAGCTTCATGGTTGTCTACAGTGAAATTAGCTATCTACTTCTGATTGTTTATTTAAACATTTTAATTTTGTTTGTGTTTCAGATATTTGAAATATTTGGTCCTGTTTTACATCCCTTTTATGTGTTAAGATTTAACAGCTCTGAGCATATCAAGGCAAAAGGTATTAATGTGCAGGATAGCATGTATTTTGCTCCGTCGGTGGAGGACTTCACACAGTATATATTTGCAGAGAAGCTGAAACAGTGAGTCTAACTTATTTTCTCATCTGGTTATAATGTATTTTAATATAGATAAAAGTACTGGATAAAAGTTGAGCCTTGAGCGAGAAACTGTAGGACTAAGCTTGACACTAGCTTTTTTTAGTTATTCTGAACTGTGTTGTAATAACAAGGTTGTACTGTTTTGCCTTTCAAAACAGTACAGAGTAGCTGTAAACTACAAGCTTCTAAAGTGTTATAATTACTGAAGTTTAGTAGCTTATTATTCAGTTTAATGTATTGTTTTCTTTTCACGTTGCTGTATTACATAAAATATCATAATCAGAAAAAATGGATTCTTGCTTCCCCCACATCCTTGCAGACACACACACAGGGTTTACAAGCTGAATTTTGCATATTTTATTGTTCTTCAGATTCTTGTTTAGTTTCGTAATGTATAATAAACCTCTTTGAGTTCTGGGCAAGTTTGTTTTTACTATTTTAATTTCATATTACAGGGCCAGAACCGAAACTTAATGATCAGTAAATCTTTTTCAGTTGCAGAATAACAATTCTACCTTAAGATTACCTACTGTGAATTTGGAGGAGGAGAGAGATTTGGGTGACAATGTAGATTGATGTTCAGAAGCTTCTCAGTAGTGTTTTTGTATCCTAGTCTCACTGAGGAAAGTAGCATGTATGAATAGAACCTTTTTGCTATTTAAAAGGAAGTGTACTGAAAAGTATGGAATAAAAAATAAAGCATAATAAATGACTGCTAGATGCTAGTGTTCTATTATTGATGAATAGTTGTCTGAAATAGCTATAGGTTAAACAAGTCCTTTGTCATACAAGCAATGTCATCTCTATTTGTATTAGTTCTCATCTGACTTGCAAGTTTTTTTCTGACTATACCCAGTAATATTGATGTCTTCGTTAATTGAAACTCTGCCACTATTCGCACTGAATAAATTTTTTCTTTACTCGTGTGTGTGTGACTAGGCCTGCTTATGGTTTCTTCCACCCCCTCTCTTTTTCATTTCTCTGGAAGAAAAAAATACATTTTTTTCAAATAGATCCCTTTCTCACTCTGTTACAGAATCACAGAATAGTCATGGCTGGAAAGGACGTCTGAGATCACGGAGTCCAACCATAAACCTGTTGCTTGTTTAGTTTATTCTGCAGCATTTTGTTGTCATCTGATCTTGGATTTGTGCCATTAACCTTTGTTACTTAGTACAGTAACTGCACATACTTTAGTCATCTGCTTAGTGCATCAATAATTGTGTGCTGGACTTGGCATCTGAGACATGAGACTCATGTTTTAGTTTGTTACATGCTTTGCAATTAGTTTTGGGAACTATTTGTCTTTTGATAGTACCTCACTGTTATATGTGGTACAAAATTGAGTGCTAGGTAAGATGTTTTACACTTTCATTACCAGTGCAACTGAACAGTGCATCAGACATTGTTTCTTGCCCTGCATTAAAATGAGCAGTGTCAACACCTGTGTAATCTGACAAACTGTGATTTCCCAGAGGAGGCTTAGATTGGATATTAAGAAAAAAATTCTTTACTGAAAGAGTTGTCAGGCACTGGAATAGGCTACCCAGAGAAGTGGTGGAGTCAGTATCCCTGGGAATATTTAAAAGATGTGTAGTTGTAGTACTTAGGGATGTTGTTCAGTGGTGGACTTGGCAGTGCTGGGTTAACAGTTGGACTTGATTCTCTTAAAGGTCTTTTTCAACCAAAACAATTATGAGTCTAGGTTATGTTTTGCTTAAGCAGTATTTTTTTTTTTTTAGGTTTTGTTAGTAAAGGTTCTTAAGCTTTTGTGAGGCAATTGGTACTATTAGTTGGAGCTGCCTTTGCATGAAGTAGGTGTCACTGAGAAAGGATAAATTTCAATTTCTGATTTGTGCTTCTACATAAAGGAAAAAAATGAGATGGCTAGTAAAAGGGCTGAGCTGTGGTCAGTGCTTCACGAAAAAGCTTTTGGACCTTAGCATATTGCAAGTTTGACGCTGGTTTTTGTAGTTTGACTATGCAGGCCAGCTTGTGGAGTATTAGAGCTGTGAAGTTTTAGAACTACTCAAAACTGTGATGTTACTTTTGGAAAAGAGGGGAATTAAGATTTATATCTGAAAGAAACTGAAACTTTGAAGCTTTTTGTGAAATCTGGCAGGCAATCTTCTTGCATTGTACGGAGTTGCAGTGCTATGTACTTTAATGTAACTATTGTTGCTTGATTGCTGCTGAGTTTATGTATAGATAAAAAGCCCCCCCGTTGGTTATTAGAGCACTGATTGAAGACTATTCATGTTGTACACACTATTTTTAACTATATGGTTCTGTTTTGCAAGTAAGAATTTTCAGTATTGCATATTTTATATTGTTTGTCTCCTAAGGTTTGTGGTTTGACATTTTAGACCAAAATAAATTTGTGAGCAGTGTGAAAAAACCTTCCACGTAGTGTACCAGCATAAATTAAATTTGTTGGACAAATTTGTTGCTCATCAAAGAAACTACTTGATTTTTAGTGAAGTTCTTGAAGTGGTGGGTAAAATAAATTATGGCACTTCAAATTAGTTTTGGTGCTTTTCAACCATATGATTTTTTAAATGTCTTTTACTTACTAATTTTATCCTTAAAATAGAAGATGAAACCTAATTATCTAGGTAACACTGTATTAATAGAAGTATAAGCAAAGCTTAGAGGTTCTTCTTGTTCCAGATTCACTCCACTATAGTTATTCTTATAGCATGTATCCTACTAGACTAGTTCATTGTCCTTTTTAACTGAAGACATGTATTCTGAAACCAGAAGAATAAGAAAACTTGTGACTACTTAGTAGTCAGCTGAGCTTTCTCAATGCAGGTTCAAAACAACTTAGGTTCAAAAGGATGCACTGAGAGACTATTGACCAAAGCTTGATATTAGCTGAGTGAAATGGTCAGTCTTCACTCAAAGTACGAAGATTTTTCAGGTAACACGTATCTGTCAATTTGAGACTTTGCTATATGTTACTGTTGACTTAGTAAGATTAAAAAATCAAATAGTTGTTTCAAAACTGACAGCTCCCAGTGTAGGACATCTGATACTTGGAAGAAAGTGTTGCCTTATTTACTACAGTACTTGCAATTTATTTCTAACCTGTAATATATTACTACTGTGAAAATTCAATTACATGTTTCATGGCCCTGTTATACCATCCTCCTTCATCTTAATTGACTAATTTGTGGTGGTTTGTGTTTTTTCTTTTAGGGAAAAAGGCTCAGATGCATCTTGGAAGAATGACCAAGAACCACCACCTGAAGTAACTATAGTTTTTGATGCTGTTTTTTTTTTTATAATTGCAAAAGAAACATGTAGGAAAAGTTCTTTGTGGATTAACTAATTGGCAAGCTTATTTTTTTACTCAAGACAAGAGTTGGCTGTAGCTCTCTTGTTCATTGAAAATAAGGTCATGCTTTTCTTGGAGAAGACTCAATCAGTGTAGGGAGCAGTAGCTGTCATTTTCTAATTGATTTTTGTGATTGGAAAAATGTATTTATCTTCAGTTACTCTAGTCCTTCCTGAATATGGGTGGCAACCTGAACGTTCAACTTTAAGTAGCAGTGCTTTTACCTTGCCTACTAGTTACGCTTCTGCTAGGGGACTTTGTCCTTGCTGTTCTTTCACTGCAGCTTCAGGAATGTGATCAGTAGAACTTTGAAAGACAGTGTAAACTTAGAAACGTTTGGCTAGTCTAAGCTTTCTTTGAAAAATTTTTTAGTGATGATACAAAATATGCTCATTGGCTAATGGTGAGCTGTTTTTTATTTTAGTCATATTTTAAAGCTGTTCAAGAGATGAGCTTGTAAGTGTATACTTGGAATTTGTAGGTTCCCGAGTAACTGCAGTTTGGCAAAGTACAAGTCAAGCAGTCAAGTCTTCTGCAGATATAGATTAGATGTGTTTTCCAAAGTTGGTATTTATTTTTTATTGATATTTCTTAATTTTAATTATGATACTGTTACCTTCAGCTTAGAATCTGGAACTACAAGGGGGAACTTTACGTTTGCTATACTTCACTGTAGGAAGGATAGAAGGAAGCTTAAATTGGTGATATTAAGGATGGGCAAACTTGTTTGCTTTATATAAAACCGTGGCTGCCATGGTTATTCTGACTTCGTGGTGTCAACACTATGTGCTCTGTTTTGGAGAAAACGCCACATCTAACATCTTGTAATACTTAATTAGAATCATCTTTGGATAGTTCTAGTGATTAGAATTTACACTAAGGTATCAATCTGTGACAGCTGATGAGCTGATAGAAAGTGGCTTTTGCTGTACAGGTAATAGCTGTTGACAAGGTTGCAGATTAAATTTTATGCTACTGATGCTTGAAATTGTCTCTTACAGCCATATGCTTTTAGATCCCTCAGCTGGCAGGTGATTCTGTAACTTTTCTGAGTAGCTCCTGTGGTAAACTGTGTGGAATTGCTGGAGTCAGTTATTTTTGTGATACTGCGAAGCTGTATTTTTGTATGAATATTAAATTAATCAATGTTAGGTATTTATAATTTAGGATGTATGGTAAGTGTTCCTTTTCTGGCAGGCTTCTAATTAGTCCAGTTTAGCTGTAGACTCAGCAATACAATCTCTCTTGGCTTTGTCTTTGGGGTCATAGGATGACTGTGATCTGTTTCCTGCAAGGATAGCAGGTGGAGATAACTGATTTCTCTGGGAGGTGGCTTTTATGGAATGTTGCATGAAAATCAGCTAGCAATAGAAGGTACCTATTGTTTGCTATTACTGTTCTACTAGAGGTGGCATATGGAAGCCCTTAGAAAAAGCAGAAGTTAGTGAAATATTTTATTATGGTCTTGTATGTCCATGTGGCTTTTTTTGAGTAATCAAGTGTTGTAGAAGAGGAGAGATAGTTGGATTCAGAATTAACTTTTGTGGCTCTTTTAGTACAGTGTTTTGAGGTGCGTGTTCGTCATATGTTGTACCAATACATCAGTAAGAAGCAAACACCTTCCTTTCACAATTGGGAGAAGGAGGAACAAACCCTACCCTTTTAAGTCATATAAGGGAGCTATTTTTCAAGGAACTTACTGCACTGACAGATTACTTTGCTGTTGCCAGGCTGGGATTCTAAAGGTAGCAAAACTTCATGTAGTAGTAAGAAAATGTTGTAGTGGCATTGAGTCTCTTGAAAATGGCAATATTCTCCAAAGCTGGAAATTACTTCAGAATAACATTTCTATTGCAAGTTTAATGGGAACAAGTGTTACTAAATATGCTACAGAAAATTCTAACTTAAACTGGAGCAATTTTTAATGTAGTTCAACTGTCCTGGGTTAAGTATCGGTTACCAAATAATTTTATAAAAATCTATATCTTAATTTGCTTAGTTTGCAGTTTGGCTTTAGAAGTTTTTTTCTTGGAAATAACTAGCCAGCTCCCTCAGAAATTTCCATGGCTACTGCTGTATTGATATTTTCCTCTTGGCTTTGCTAAGAACCAGGTAAATTCCATGTCTATAAGTGTTTCTTCTAGGGAAGAGTGAAATAGAACCCTTGGTAGACTTGCCGTTGAATTACCTACATGCTCTTAAAGTCTTTGCTGTTGTTTTTTGGCAAAAAGCTGTGCAAGATACACTTGAAAAATTATTTGAGAGTGCTCAGATCTTTTGTATGTTGTGGAATTGTTTTTTTTTCCTTGCATCTAGGCAATGAAAAATGTGTGTTCATTGCCTGCATGTTGCTGTTTTAAGGAAAATTAGAAGAAATAACTAATAATTGTATAATTGTTTTAAGACAAATTTATGAAGTGTTAAGTTCTTGATTGCATTGAGAAGCCAGCTGAACATGTGGTGGCTCTTTGAATTCAAAATAAGAAAGTGCAGCTTTAATAGTCTTCTAAGCTGACTGCAGGTTGGATTGTGTTCTAAATTATTTTTTACTACAACTGAAATTCTTTGTGCAGTCTTTATATGGTTTTGTTATCTTTTTTTTTAAACCAGGCCTTGGATTTCAGTGATGATGAAAAAGAAAGAGAGGCAAAACAAAAGAAAAAGAAGCCTCAAAATCAAGGAAAGAAGAAACTCAGATCAGAAACAAATGCATCAAGTGAGTGAATGCTATGGGTGAATACTTCTGTTTGTTAAACTGAGTTTGAATTGCATAATATTATCTTAATAATTGAGCTTTTATACAGTTAATCAGCATATCAGTTCTTTTCAAAGTTGAAGTTGTGAACTTGTCACTACATTCCTTATTTTTTGAAAAAGGGAAATGAAGGATTTTCCATTAAACTGCAAGGGAAGTCATATAGGAGCAGGACAGTTGTCAGAGGAGAGTCAGAGCCTCTTGAGAAAGTGTCAGCTGACACACAGTGAGGATATAGAACAGATGCCACCTTTTGGAATTTAGAGCTTGCTTATTGCAGGAGTTACTGGGGCCCAAGTTTAGTTTAAGCCTTTAAGTGCAGGGATAAGATAGAGGAAAGACGTGATTTTTGGAAACATGTTTTTTTATTATCAGGGAGAAGGTACAAGTCTTAAAAGGGTAACTTATTTCTCTTCCTCACCCAGTGCATATAAATACTCCTTTAAAATAACTGCTACTTGTGTACCCTATTGAAAACCTCTGTCTACCTAACACTATAATTAGATACACAAACCTATAGTAATATAAACTATATAGTTTTTCGTTATCTACACAGCCTTCTTCATGTGCCTTTGTCTTGCTGTTGACAGTTCTGTTCTAGGTGTATGTTTACAGGTGTGCTCTGTTTGCGGTAACCAGGTTGTCCTGTGTGTCTTATGCTTCTCTATTGACAAAACTTTTTGCTTTTCGTGTGCCATTTTGTTGAGTAATTAAAATTGCATCCCTTTGTCTCTGTTCTCGGTGGTCTGGTTCTGTTACATGCTTTTTGTACCACTCCCTTTAAGTACTACTGACTCTTACACCCTCCATTCTTCCTCTTCTCCTGCTTAAATATGAGTTTGCTTCAGCCATCTGCTGCACAGTGCTTCCCCACATGGATCTTCTTGGACTGACTCCCTCCTTGAGTTTACTACTCTTCCTTTGTAAAGCCTGCTTAAAGCAGACCTGCCTTTCCCTAGGACTGGCTGAGGCTGTTCCTGAGCTGTGTTCCATAACTGAGAAAACAATGGGAGGAACTGTTTCAGTCTGTCAAGGGAGTACAGTTATGATTTGACATTTTTCTGTAAATAACATGGTATGAATTCACAGCGTGCATAGTTTGGCTGTGAAACTTAGTAACAAGGATATCTGGCAAATTGAGGCACGAATTCAGTCTCAGCTGGAGTTTTGCTTGGTTGCATCTTCATAAAAAAATATATTAAAATTGCCTTGTTATAGTCTTTGATAGGAGAAGAAAGAACAAAAACACTCAAATCAAGTACTTTCACTTCAGTGCTTCTAGGAGGACTGCATGTGTGAGAGGAGTCTAAGTCCTGGTCCCCCACGAAAATGAGCAATTTTGATATCAAACTACCTTTCCAAACTCAAGCTTTTCAAAGGTGAAAATGTTTGTGTAGTCATGAACCAAGGGTTAGGTCACACAGGTTCTTGAAGTTCATTGACTTTATGTGGTGTTATGTCCCTAAATAACGTCTTTGCTTCTATCCCTAAAATCCTTTGGTGATCACCTAATAGTTTACATTGTATAGCATTTTGAATATCATAGCAGCTCTTTGGAGCATTTTTACTGTTTTGGTTCTTTTGATTTTATAGCACTTACCCGAATAAATACTTTAAGGGTATTTTTATAAAGTGGCAGTAGATTTGTTTTCAATCTTAAAGCATATATTTAAGTGACCTGTACAGGGAAAAACTTGTCTCTGAAAGATGAATGCTGAAAATTAATTGACTAAAGGTACAAACTTTTTTTGAGTAAGTTAATTTTATTAATTTCAGTTTGAATAATTCCTAGTGTTCCATATCTGTACTATAATATCAACTCAAGTCTAAAAGCTGTATGCCACTTTAGTGTAATGCAGTGTTATCTTCAGTTTTGAAATGTTTTGCTTTTAAATCTTGTTTTAAACTAAAGTTTCCAAAATACTTAAAGAGTTTGAGAGTTCCTGTGAATCATTAATACAAATTAAAATGCCTGGAGGGAAAAAACTGAAATCCTTTTTTTTTCTTTTTTTATGACTGAATTTGCAACTCTTGGGATTATTCTTTCTATATTACTCTAATAAATCAAGATGTTACTAAGCAATACACTTGCCAGTGGTATTTTGTTGTTTATGTATTATTTGTTGGTATTATTTGTTGATAAGCTTACTCTTCAAGTTTCCTCAACTTCATCTTGAAAGATTGTTAAGGACTAAACTTAGTATTTCCAAAATAATATTAAAACTGTGTGGTTTTTAATTTTGTTGTTGTGTTTTTAAGGTGAGAACAAAGGATTTAATCAGTCAATGCAACAACCTGCTTCAAGTTATTCAAGGGGATACCGTGGCAGAGGGTTCTCCAGGGCTCCATTTCCTCCTTCATCAGGCCCTCTGGGTTTTTTGAAACCACAAGTAAAACCTCCACATCTCTACTCTTCAGACAGAGTACATCAGGAAACTCCAGTATTTCCACAAGCTCACAGAAAAGAAAATGCAGTGATGCAACAGTATCCCTTTCCTTCTCCAGTTTTTGGTTCTGTTAATGACGTGCATCAATTCCACCTTCCGCCTTCAAATATGAATATGATGTGGACAGGCCCAAACATGTACAACTCATACCCATTTTTACCACCTCCACCACCTCCTCCTCCACCTCCTCCAGATAGCCATCCTTCACAGTTCAGGCCTTATTAAGTTTCCATGAATATGGAGTTTGAGGAGAAGAGGAACAGGCTGCCAAGACTGCATTTCCTTATTTTGGAACTGCTTCATTTTTCTGCGACAATAGAGCAAATGCAGAGTTTGAAGCTTTGTGGGACGTACATAGGAAGCTATTGTTTTCTATATGTTTTCTATTTCAAAAAATAAAACTATCATAAAAATAACTGAATGTTAAACAATGGCTTATTTTTATAATATCTGATAATTTTAGATGATAAAACTTATTGGAAACTGGTACGTAGTGGTGAAAGTCAGTTTTTAAATAAATTTAAGAGTTTATGTAAGTACCCTCTCGTAGTCATGAGGATGTGTTGCATACCTAGTATTTTAATATTTGTAGTGTTTGTATATTGCTACGCTAAACCATTTTTCTCAGTTTCTGCAGATTTTGAAATCTACTTGAATGGAAATAAAAAAATAGGACACCTAATTTTTAAGCTAGCTTTGCCAGTATTTTTATAAGGTATAAAGTCCTGTTATCCAACTTTTAATATTAATTTCCTATTAACTGAAAGACTGCAGCTAGATGGTCTTTTTTTAAGTAACTAGGTCAAAATTTGGACCTGTAGCTGAATTGCTTTGTTGGATTAAGTATCCTACAGTAGCTATAGAAGATGAACTTACTGATTTGATGTTTTTCAGTTAATTGTAGGATGTAAAAATTTATGGTATGGGGAAATTAAAAAAACAGTCTAACTCCTCCAGCTTGTCCTTACTCCTAGTGCAGAAGTGCCCATAGATAGATGCAGTATGTAAGTCAGCCTTTCAAAAAAGTCATTGGGCCAGGCAGAGAGGAAGTGTTCCACCTGTAACACTGCATGAAGATTTTAAAAAGAGGGGGGCAGGGGAAGACTATTTTTGAATCATTAATCAACAATACAATCAGTCTGAACCATTGAACAGAATTAATAGAAGTGTGCAGTATTTCCATTCTCAAACTCCTATTGGCCTCATTACTTTGGATATGTAGAAAGGCTAATTAAGCTCTGCAGCTGTTGCTTAGACTTTAATTCCAGATAACTTCTGAATGAAGCAAAAATTAATGCACAGAGGGAGGGATCATCTTGTCAAGACTCTAATCCTGGGAACTAAATTTAATTTCAGATTTTTAAAAGTTTTCTGTGGTAATAATTATATTCTCTAAGATATGTAGAACTGCTGTTTCATAGATGTGCAACTGAGAAGGTCATTCAGATCTCAGATTTTTTTGGCAGATTCTGAACTGGCAACAAACCATTTCAGAACAAGTATTCCAGACATTGATGTTTAAATCAATTCTTGCAGACTTTTTTGGGGTTTTTGTTGTTGTTGGATTTTTTTGTTTTGTTTGGGTTTTTTTTGGGGGGTGGTGGTGGTGTTTTTTCTGTTTTTGTAAAAAGGATGTCCAGTTTTAGTGTGTAACAAATGCTTGGTTTGGGGGGGAAAAGAAGGGAGTGAGTTTCTGGCTGCCTAAGCTGTGGCCCAGCAGTTACTATTGCGAGTGATATGTAACAGGAATTAGTAAACTCACTACAGCCTCAGGATGGAGTCCTTGCAGGTTTGCTTTGTTAGAGCTTCCTTTGACTCGCCTGGTATTTTCTTTTTATTCGACTTACCTATAACAGCAATTTGTTAATGACCAGGTGGGTATGATTAATTTGTTTTCTATGTACTTTTTATGGTGTACATGTAGTTTTTTACATACATAGCTGTGACAAGTGGCTATTCTGTTAGAATGGAGTATTTATGGCTTTAATGGAATAAGATGATTTAGAGGAATACACCTGACCTGGTAACAGAAGCCTCAAGTGATGGCGTAGGATGCAGTGTAGAGGAATACCTGGGATGTACCAGAGGAATACCTCTAGGTTGCAGACTACTCCCCAGCTGAATAAATGCAATCCTGGCTCTAGAACAAACTTCTTTTGAGTGTAACAGACAGAAAAAGTATGTAATGTATGTAAAATGCACCATATATAGTAAAATCAGATATGATTATGAATATGCAGACAGATGAGAGCAAGATGTTACATGTGTTTTCAAACATAAAAGTAATCCCAAATTAATTATAGGTTATGGAGGAAGAAACCGTGAACATCATACTTGGACTTGGGATGCTGATGACTTGCTGTATGTCATTGGCACACGTGCATGCCACCAGCCTCAAGATCCAGAGGGTTGGTTGAAAGGTAAGCGTAATACCAGGAAAAGGAGTGAGGTAATAGGAAGTGTAATAACTGTTACTACCATTGAGACCTTTTTATTATGTGTAGTAACTTTCACTTTTTTCTGCAATAATTGGATGTGGATTAATAATTCTTTGATTATTCTGTTAAGATTTCAGTTACACTAAGGTGTATTCTTTTTCCATAACAATATTTTGCCTGTAACAAAATCCAACATAAAATCAGGTTACAGAATGTAGCCTGACACAGATTTGTTATGGTCTAAGCCATTAATGTTTGGTAGTTTGATGCAATACTGGTTTTGTCTGCACTTGCTTTTTTTTATCCTGAAACAAATTTTGCAGGTTTTCAGCATTTAGTGAGTACAGGTCACACTTGCAGAACTTTGCTTGGAATCAACTTTAGTTCTTCATTGTAGAATTTTTTGTAAGTTAGGTATGATTACTGAGTTTGAAATATTTGGAGGATTAATTTCCTTGCTACAAAATAGTGTGTTATGTACAGTGTCACAATGAAGAATAAGCATTGCATTAGTTTGCTAGAGTAGCACCATCTTAAATTGAAAATAAAGCTAATGTAACTGATCTTTTGTAGAAAAAAAAATCTTGAATGCAATCATCATTGATTGTTACCTCAGTTATTTGTAGTCAATATTGTCACATGGATACTGTGAGACCCTGGTTCAGTGTGCTGGACACTTGCTTCTGAGAAAGCAGTATAAACTTGCAGTAATTTAGGGAGATAGGAACCTGAGATATGTTTGCAAGTTCAGCTGTTCGGGGAAGGAAAACAAAACTGGGTATACTTGATGGAAAAAAGAAGGTTGTGGAAATACTTTTTGTCTTTTAACTCTTTAGAAAATATCTCTGTCCGCAGGCCTTTAAAACCATAACTATAAAGCTTGGGAAAACTGACCTGACAATTTTAGTAGTAAGGAGAGCTGGGTTTTGTTCAACCCCAAGTATTCTTTGTCAAGCTGTTTTACAGAAATCTGTTACTACATTACTGTGTTACATTGAATACGTTACTACATTAAAGTGTTAGAGCACTATGCTGTAGTAGGATTACAGAAGCTCTGCTGAGCTACACTCTTTTGTGACTGGGACACCAGTTCAGTCAGAGACAACAGGGATAGATGCTTAGCAAATGAAGCACTTTAAGACATCTGCCTTTTTCTCTGCTGCTAGAAAATGAACAGTAATGCATATTGGCTCAATTCTTGATGAATGCTACATGGAAGCAGGATGAGCTTTTTAATGTGAAATAATTGTGTGTAATGCACCCTCTCCAGGGATACTCCTAATTAAAAAGCCAGCCAGCTAGAAAATAGAAGCCATGAAATGTGAATTGTGCAGACATCAGGTCATCAGCACCAACGCTTTCTTTACAGATCTGTTCTGGCAGGTCCACACCACTTGGTAACATAGATGTAATTTTAGTGTTTAGTGTGTACAGCAATAAACCTTATTTTTTGTAGGTACTACTTAGGCCTTACTGTAGTTCATGTTTCTCATACAGGTACACAAAGGCAAAGAAGACTTAAAAATTGTTCTACTTACTGGCTATCGGTAGTGTCCAATCCAGATGTCAGTTGAAAATGCCAGCAAATGCCTATTTGCTAGGAATTTCACACTGACCTATGGCTCAGGAGTTGACAGGTTGCTGGATTAGTACACTGATACCAAACAAAGTGATGAAGCCAATGTTTTATTGGACAAAATCATTGGAATGTATCAGATATATTGTGTTTAAAAAATAACAAAAGCATCTAACTTCACCCACTTCCGAAAATAGCCAAAGAAGAACAAACAAACAAAAAACCCCCACCCCTGTGCTATTTTTGTGAAGCAGATTTGTACAGTGAAATATTTAGCTGTCAGAGAAGAGTATTCCTGCTTCTACAGTGCTTACTGAATGCACTTCATGGTAGTCCCTGTGTTAAAACCAGCCAACCAAAATAGAAAAAAAAACAAACCCAAAACCAAACCCAAACCTTAATTCCAGAATTTGACCTTTCATATATATAGAGATACCATTTTGCAATTCTGCTGGATATTCACCCTTATTTGAATTCCAGAAATTTGAAATTACTCTGTAGAGTGATATAAAATGAATCATTAGAAGCAAAATACCATCATGTCATGTCCCTGTGGAATACTTTCTTCTGTGAATTTTGTTTATGCTCCTTCAACTAACTAAGCTAGTTCTCTACTTATGTCTGAAATGCTGTTTGTTTTTTTTCCAAAGAAATGTGTTTGGTGTAGAAATAGTATGGTGGCATGTTTATACAGTATTTAACTTTTTTTTACTGAATTGTTAGGACTTAGGATTTACTAAATTGTTGGAGGTCAGAACTTTACGATAGATTATTGTCATTCAGTGGGATATAGTTGGGAAGTCTGTAAAAGCCTCTGAAGAAGACACCATTTTTTATTTTATAGTTATTTGCTCTCAAAAGGTGAATAATGTCAAATCAGAATAGTTTTGAGTCCAGGAGAGAATTTTCAGAGGTAACTCCCACCAGCCCTTCATCTATGCCAGAAGTAGGAGGCATTGCTAGGCTCTGGGGCTGTGATGGCACAGATGCAAGGCTTCAGTAAAGTAATATTTTCTAGTAGGCCAATACTTCTCTGAGTCATATGAAGTCTATTTTCAGATTCAGCCTGGAGAGCTGCAATAGAGTCCTATAATTACCATTTTTAGTTAGCCCCCTGGGTTTTAACATTTTTCATCAGCTGCTTTCCAGAGAAAGCTTAAGTGAATGAAAAGTCAGAGAGGAAACAGACTCGAGGAAAAGCAGAGGCTTAG